ATTGTCACTCCCGTTGTAAATACATACCGGAAAAAAATATTCTTTAAAAAAACCACGCCTTAATAATCCCCTTGAAATAATATTCTTAAAAAACACATTTTAATGAACCCCTTGAAAAATATTCTTTAAAAAAACCACGCCTTAATAATCCCCTTGAAATAATATTCTTAAAAAACACATTTTAATGAACCCCTTGAAAAATATTCTTTAAAAAATCCACGCCTTAATAAACCCATTGAAAAAATATTTTTTAAAAAATCCACACCTTTTTAAAAATTAAATTCAATGGTCTACCACTTGAATTTAATTTTTAAAAAGTTAATCCTCTTATTTATTTTCGTTTAGTTCATTTACAAATATTTAACTCATTTTATATTTCAATATTTTTTTCTACACTTCCGTCTATATACGAGTCACGTCATGGAAAATAAAATTGAACAATGCAAAAAAAAAAAACGTGAAAGAATGTGTTACGAATTTCCATATTTTGAAATATAGATAATCAAAGTATAAAAAAAGTCTCTGTATATATAACGGTATTGTCTATTGTAATAAATCTTGTAATTTTGTATCATTCTGAAACGTGCTTTAATTAAATTTAACAATAACAATTAAGAATTTGAAATATTTTTCATACAGCCCAAAATAAATCTGATATTTTATAGTTCAGAAGTAGACATGTAAACGCAATGGAAAATTATTGAGAATTTTTTTTGCGAATCTATTTCTAGGGACGCATAAACGTGTGTTCTTCAATAATATTTTTTTGAAGGATTATCGTTATCTTCAACTCGAATTTTAAAGGATATTTTTTCAGTAACTTTTTAAATAATATTTTTTCAAGGCTTATCAAGGCGTGGATTTTTTAAAGATTACTTTTTCAAAAAAGTGACTTTTTGTTTTTAATAAAACATATTATTGAAGGTTTATCACTCGTTAATTTCCAACGAATATTTCCTATGATCCTATCCTATGATCCTATCCTATCCAAAGTCGTCAGACGGCTATCAAATCCATATCTTATATGGATGGCGCTAGTCATTGTCATCTCAAGTACGCACCAATTCGGGGACGTTGTCAGGGATGTGGCAACAATATCAAATCATTATAGATAATTTCAAAATCACCTGTTCTACGTCATAACACTTTTCAAATCGAATTGATTCGAATTGTTTGTAGACAAATTTTACAAGTGCAAAAAAACTGGGGCATGTGTACGGAACTGGAGTGCCAAACATCTTGAAATTGACAACACGAAGTAATTCTTTCAATGAAAAAAGAAAAATACTTCTCCAATAATTTCAAAGTTCACTGACATTCATTGCAGTAATTGCCATTGTTTAATAATAATATTCAATACTTTTGGTAGATAAAACTAAGATGGCGGAATGAATGGGGTACTTAAGGAAAAAGTATAGATATTATAAGGTTTAAATACTGCTTGACTAGCTGGATTTTTACTTAGTGTTATCTGTAAATTGTAAGCAGTCGGTTACATTTTCTCGAAGTACAAAAAAATAGTCTTCCTAAATAAAATATTCCTAAAGACAAGGATTTATTCCTCTTACTATAAGTCTGCATAGAATACTCAGGTAAAATATTAAATTATTTTTTGAAAAATATTCTTTAAAAAATCCACGCCTTGGGCAAGCCTCGAAAAAATATTCTTTAAAAAATCCACGCCTTGGGCAAGCCTCGAAAAAATATTCTTTAAAAAATCCACGCCTTGGGCAAGCCTCGAAAAAATAATCTTTAAAAAATCCACGCCTTGGGCAAGCCTCAAAAAAATATACTTTAAGAAATCCACGCCTTGGGCAGGCCTCGAAAAAATATACTTTAAAAAAATCCACGCCTTGGGCAGGCCTCGAAAAAATATACTTTAAAAAAAACCACGCCTTGGGCAGGCCTCGAAAAAATATACTTTAAAAAAATCCACGCCTTGGGCAGGCCTCGAAAAATATTCCTTAAAAAATCCACGCCTTGGGCAGATCCTTGAAAAAAATATTCCTTAAAAAATCCACGCCTTGGGCAAGCCTCGAAAAAATATTCTCTAAAAAATCCACGCCATGGGCAAGCCTCGAAAAAATATTCTTTAAAAAATCCACGCCTTGGGCAAGCCTCGAAAGAATATTCTTTAAAAATCCACGCCTTGGGCAAGCCTCGAAAAAATATTCTTTAAAAATCCACGCCTTGGGCAAGCCTCGAAAAAATATTCTTTAAAAAATCCACGCCTTGGGCAAGCCTTGAAAAAATATACTTTAAAAAATCCACGCCTTGGGCAAGCCTAGAAAAAATATTCTTTAAAAAATCCACGCCTTGGGCAAGCCTCGAAAAAATATTCTTTAAAAAATCCACGCCTTGGGCAAGCCTCGAAAAAATATTCTTTAAAAAATCCACGCCTTGGGCAAGCCTCGAAAAAATATTCTTTAAAAAATCCACGCCTTGGGCAAGCCTCGAAAAAATATTCTTTAAAAAATCCACGCCTTGGGCAAGCCTCGAAAAAATATTCTTTAAAAAATCCACGCCTTGGGCAAGCCTCGAAAAAATATTCTTTAAAAAATCCACGCCTTGGGCAAGCCTCGAAAAAATATTCTTTAAAAAATCCACGCCTTGGGCAAGCCTCGAAAAAATATTCTTTAAAAAATCCACGCCTTGGGCATGCCTCGAAAAAATATTCTTTAAAAAATCCACGCCTTGGGCAAGCCTCGAAAAAATATTCTTTAAAAAATCCACGCCTTGGGCAAGCCTCGAAAAAATATTCTTTAAAAAATCCACGCCTTGGGCAAGCCTCGAAAAAATATTCTTTAAAAAATCCACGCCTTGGGCAAGCCTCGAAAAAATATTCTTTAAAAAATCCACGCCTTGGGCAAGCCTCGAAAAAATATTCTTTAAAAAATCCACGCATTGGGCAAGCCTCGAAAAAATATTCTTTAAAAAATCCACGCCTTGGGCAAGCCTCGAAAAAATATTCTTTAAACAATCCACGCCTTGGGCAAGCCTCGAAAAAATATTCTTTAAAAAATCCACGCCTTGGGCAAGCCTCGAAAAAATATTCTTTAAAAAATCCACGCCTTGGGCAAGCCTCGAAAAAATATTCTTTAAAAAATCCACGCCTTGGGCAAGCCTCGAAAAAATATTCTTTAAAAAATCCACGCATTGGGCAAGCCTCGAAAAAATATTCTTTAAAAAATCCACGCCTTGGGCAAGCCTCGAAAAAATATTCTTTAAACAATCCACGCCTTGGGCAAGCCTCGAAAAAATATTCTTTAAAAAATTCACGACTTGGGCAAGCCTCGAAAAAATATTTATTAAAAAATCCGCGCCTTGGGCAAGCCTCGAAAAAATATTTATTAAAAAATCCGCGCCTTGGGCAAGCCTCGAAAAAAATATTCTTTAAAAATTCCACGCCTTGGGCAAGCCTCGAAAAAATATACTTTAAAAAAATCCACGCCTTGGGCAAGCCTCGAAAAAATATTCTTTAAAAAATCCACGCCTTGGGCAAGCCTCGAAAAAATATTCTTTAAAAAATCCACGCCTTGGGCAAGCCTCGAAAAAAATATTCTTTAAAAAATCCACGCCTTGGGCAAGCCTCGAAAAAATATTCTTTAAAAAATCCACGCCTTGGGCAAGCCTCGAAAAAATATTCTTTAAAAAATCCACGCCTTGGGCAAGCCTCGAAAAAATATTCTTTAAAAAATCCACGCCTTGGGCAAGCCTCGAAAAAATATTCCTTAAAAAATCCACGCCTTGGGCAAGCCTCGAAAAAATATTCTTTAAAAAATCCACGCCTTGGGCAAGCCTCGAAAAAATATTCTTTAAAAAATCCACGCCTTGGGCAAGCCTCGAAAAAATATTCTTTAAAAAATCCACGCCTTGGGCAAGCCTCGAAAAAATATTCTTTAAAAAATCCACGCCTTGGGCAAGCCTCGAAAAAATATTCTTTAAAAAATCCACGCCTTGGGCAAGCCTCGAAAAAATATTCTTTAAAAAATCCACGCCTTGGGCAAGCCTCGAAAAAATATTCTTTAAAAAATCCACGCCTTGGGCAAGCCTGGAAAAAATATTCTTTAAAAAATCCACGCCTTGGGCAAGCCTGGAAAAAATATTCTTTAAAAAATCCACGCCTTGGGCAAGCCTCGAAAAAATATTCTTTAAAAAATCCACGCCTTGGGCAAGCCTCGAAAAAATATTCTTTAAAAAATCCACGCCTTGGGCAAGCCTCGAAAAAATATTCTTTAAAAAATCCACGCCTTGGGCAAGCCTCGAAAAAATATTCTTTAAAAAATCCACGCCTTGGGCAAGCCTCGAAAAAATATTCTTTAAAAAATCCACGCCTTGGGCAAGCCTCAAAAAAATATTCTTTAAAAAATCCACGCCTTGGGCAAGCCTCGAAAAAATATTCCTTAAAAAATCCACGCCTTGGGCAAGCCTCAAAAAAATATTCTTTAAAAAATCCACGCCTTGGGCAAGCCTCGAAAAAATATTCTTTAAAAAATCCACGCCTTTTGTAGTCCCCGAAAAAATAATCTTTGAAAATCCACACCTATTGTAACCCTCCGATCGATTACACCTGTCATCCAACTACTTTCCAACACTAGACCCAAACAAACAAATGTCTGTCAAACAAAAGAGCGCATAAACCGTTAACGGTACTTTAGTTGCATAGAAAAAAGTTCTGCATTAGGGAATCAGACCTTGTCCGCTTTATTATTAATTTTTTTATTGTTTTATGTCTTTTTATTTTATTAGATTAACAACAACAACAGTATTAAGGCTGATTCCTGAAACAACAACAACAAAACTATAAATAAATGCATTTAAATTTTTAACAAAAAAAAATATATTTTTAATAAAAAAAATTAACTACTGTGATACAAGAAAAAACAATTAAAACAAAATGGGAATACCAATGGAATCCACATCGGAAAAGAGAGCAGATCTCAATGAAACCCAGGATGTTGAGGCCACCACAGCAAGGAGCAAACACAAGACTACGTAAGGTTTCACTTCGGAAATAAAAAAATTGAAATTTGATTTTACTTATGAATCCCATTTCTTCACCTCTCTTTCTTCCACCCCTTGCAGTGTCTTTGAGGCTGTGGTCCATTTATTTAAGGGCAGTGTCGGAGCTGGTCTCTTTGCCATGGGTGATTGCTTTAAAAATGGTGGCCTCTTCGGGGCCACAATTCTAATGCCCATCATTGCTGTGATCTGTGTCCATTGTGAACAAATGCTAATCACCGGTTCGATGTTGGCTGTGGAACGAAATAAATCCGCAACATTCTATGATTATCCCGATACCATAGAGAAATGTTTTGAAGCCGGGCCGAAACCTTTCCGTCGCCTTGCGAAAATAATGAAATTTATTGTGGAGATGTTTTTGTGTATTACCCAGTTTGGATTTTGTTCGATATATTTTGTGTTCATTACGGAGAATATGCATCAGGTAAGGGAGACAATTTTTTTTATAAAAAATATTTTTTTATAGAAAAAAATCCTCAGTGAACCGAGGAAGATTTTTTAATAGAAAAAATACTCAGAAATTGAGGATATATTTTTTCTATAGAAAAAATCTTCCTCATTAGTCTAATGATTTTTTTTTTCTATAGAAAAAAATCCTACAGAGGAAGATTTTTTTTCTATAGAAAAAAAATCATTAGACTAATGAGGAAGATTTTTTCTATAGAAAAAATTCTTCTTCTGTAGTCTGAGGAATTTTCCTCAGTAGCCTGAGGAATTTTTTTTTTCTTAAGAATTGATTTTTTTCTATAGAAAAAAGTCTTGCTCAGATCACTGAGGAATTTTTTCTTTAGAAAAAGTCTTCCTCAGATCACTTAGTAATTTTTTTCTATAGAAAATGTTTTCCTCAGATCACTCATTTTTTTCTATAGAAAAAGTCTTCCTCAGATCACTGAGGAATTTTTTTCTATAGAAAAAGTCTTCCTCAGATCACTGAGGAATTTTTTTCTATAGAAAAAGTCTTCCTCAGATCACTGAGGAATTTTTTTCTATAGAAAAAGTCTTCCTCAGATCACTGAGGAATTTTTTTCTATAGAAAAAGTCTTCCGCAGATCACTGAGGAATTTTTTCACTGAGGATTTTTTTTCTATAGAAAAAACCTTCCTCAGTAGCCTGAGGAATTTTTTTCCATAATCTGAGGAATTTTTTATATAGAAAAAAGTTTTGCCCAGTATTCTGACTGAGTTTTGTTTTCTCCCTAACCTCAAAATTAATTCCCAAATTTTATTCTTTTCTTCCTTCCAGATCCTTCAAAGTTATGGCATTGACATCAGCATGAGCATGACAATGTTAATATGTCTATTGCCCGCGATGATCCCCTCGCTGATGACCAATTTGAAATATATCTCTCCCGTATCGGCCTTTGCCAGTTTCGCCTTACTTTTCGGTTTAGTGACCACGCTCAGTTTAGCCTTCTTAGATGGTCCAATGCCATCGATAACTGAGAGGCATTATTTTACCTTTGGTCCAGAGTTGTCATTATTCTTTGGAACGGCTCTATTTTCATTTGAAGGCATTGCTTTGATTTTACCCATTCGCAATTCGATGAAGGATCCAAAGAAATTTAATCAACGTTTTGGTGTTTTGAATATTTCAATGCTCATTATTACCCTGCTGTTCGTGTTCACCGGCTTTGTCAGCTATACCAAATGGGGT